AATTCTTAATCAAAATGTAAAGTGATCTGATTTATTTCATTTTTGATTCATTTAAGGGAAACGTTGCTTTTTATTAAGAAATAAAAATATCTTGGGACATTGAGACACTTTCTTTTAACATGTAAAGTACTGGCTCTGTGTGAATCACAACCAGTTACAACGCCAAAGTTACAACATGCACTGAACAATAGAACATTTATACAGAAACAACAGCATAGAAAGTCAACAGGTAAAAATGTTTTTCTCTTTTTGTTTTTGTTTTACAAAACAGACAGCCTCGGGACCTACAAACAACATTGTATAAGAGCTGGCTAAGGTCATTCAAATATCTTTTTTCAATTCCCTGGAAACAGTGTACTTTACAAAGACTGATGGCTTAGGCAAGGTTGGGGTCAATTCCACTGAGAGGTTAAAATATAGGGAAAAAATAGTTTATGTTTGAATTTGTCCGTTTCTCATGCTTTAATACTGCTTTTTATTATAGCGCCACGTGTGATGTGTCTTGTGCACCACCTTGAATCGACCCCAACCCTGTAATACAGTGTTAGATTCAAAGAATGTGGAATTGGACTACTTGCTAAAGCAGTAGTTCTCACCAGGTTTTGGAAACTATCACGTCCTTGAAAAAGTCCCGTGGGGTTTGAAGAATAAATTAAAGAAATAAGAAAACAAAAGAACGGAAACTCCTTTAACCTCTTTTTAAAATTTAGCAGCTAGCTAAACAATTCAATTCTCTTTTAGATTTTAACTAAATGCCTAATACTGTACAGCTGGGAGTCATATGGGATGATTAGGAATTGTATTTATAAAAATCTTAGAGAACTTGTGCTCTTAATTTTAATTGGTATCAATAAAGAAGAGGTAAAAGAAGTCACTAGATTGTGTTGTCTTGATAAAGAGTCATGGTTTAGTCCTTTGATTCACATCGGATTGCTCCACAGGGAACCTCGGTGAAATTAAAAGGTCTGCTATACTATTAGATTCAATTAATTTGAATGGCTCCCTTGAAAATGGAGTGGATTTAAGCGTCCAAATAAAATGAAATGAAGCTAAATGTAGAAATGAAAGACACTTTTTTTAAACTATTATTATTATGGTGGTATTGTGTCACAGTATCACAGTCTAAATATGAAATCAAACATCATACTTGATGTTTCTTTGCTCTCTCCTTTCTAAAAGCTTAATTCTAAGAATGCTAGTGTCAGGATTTCAGTACTTGTAAGTGTGTGCGCACATGGTTGTGCATTTGCGTAATATTTTTCCAAGATAAATCTCAGGTCTCTACACTAGTGCTTGCTGCCCATTCGTGATATATTGATTGTCATCATTGTTGAGAGATATTTCAGTGAAAAATGGTCCCTGACTACAATAATATAGAAAACCGAAATGATAGGACAGAAGCTCACGTGGTGCTTAAGGAGGGGTTGTGTGAGCTCAATGCCCTTCATATTTCATATTTATCTCTTAGTTCACCCTAAAATATTTGTCTGGCTGCTTTTTGTTTTTTCTTGACTCAAGTAACAAAATCAAAATGGACAGTAAGGTATAATCAGGTGAAATAAGTTGAACTGTATTTTTTCTTGTTGAAACTGAAGAAAATAAAATCTGTTTGACTAAATTTGTCATGAATTCCTTTGGGATTTAACCTGTGACTTCAACCTCAGGAAAATGTGAAGAATTACAGACATTTACTGGACAGTATACATGTAGGAACGTAACCAAAGAACATTACCAGAGACCATCTGGATCATTTTCAATACCCACAGTCAACTGTTGTGCAACAGGATATTTTCTTATAACAAAAATCTATTTAACAGCTGTTTGTGGGTAATTATTGTAATTTTTTATCATTGTGGGGGATTTTTTTGTTTTTGTTTTTTTGGTACTTCAAATAAAGAAAGACATTAAATAAAAAAAAATATCTACACACACAGGAAAAATGTAAAGGTGTAATACAACGTGAGTCAATGAGATGAAGCTATTCTCAGTACAGTTATCTGCTTAATTATACTAAACATGATTCATAAAATGCTCCTCCCGTATCTCGTTTCCCAGCTATAAATAAAGCTTCACTTCAAAAACATCGACTAAAAATAATCCTATTTTCTCACACAACTCTAATATTTTCTTTGTATTGCAATCTGCATTACTGCTGCATGTTACAGTCAGGACTGTAGATGGAATAGAGAGAAAACAAAAGGCAGGATTCCCCCAGCCCGCACATTCATATTGGAAACAGTTCATTCTTTTCCATTAAGCAGCAGCCACACTGCTATAATGCCCCAGCTTTACAGCAGTCTCCCTTTCTCTCTCTCACACACACACATACACAAAGTTCCCTCTGCTTCTCGCAGTCGTTGGTATTCCTTTCACACCTCAGCTTCTCTCACTATGGGAGAGCAATATGAAATGGTCCAACTCTGTGATTAAAACAGGAAGTGAAATCAGGATTTGTGATTAGACTCTAAACTACAACACTAAAACGATATGTGTCAATCAACTTAGGTTGGATAAATTCTGAAAAAATAGATTTATAATAGTGCAATGCTCTTATTTGCGTGCATCATTTGCCAGTATACTTGTGTCAGGAAAAGACTGAGAAAGATTTTAAAGTTATTCTTTTTTCTTTTGACAGTATATTTTGTTGGCACTGAGGTTCTTTGCTCATCTTGTTAATCTTGTTTGTGAAAGATGTGATGACAGAAGGCATACTGTACCTACTCAAAAGACTTTTAAAGACGTTACAAAAACCTTGTACTTTTGCACTAGAAATTAAATTTCAAGAGATTGTGGAAGGACTCTTGATACTGTAACTCAGCTTATGTTAATGAGTGGAAATCTTGTATATAAAAGATGGACTTAGCTTTAAAGTAAATCCCTTACATAAGTGCTGAAACATTTAATATTTCTGATGTCCAATGGCTGCAAAAGAGAAAGTCTTTCAGAAAGTTATTCCATTGCTGTCTTAGTTTAGGACCATGGTAAATACTTTTCTGTTGAGTTCATGTTTGCAATCCCGTCTTCTAAGTCTTATTAATCATGTTTTTTTCTTTTTATAGGAAGCAGGTGAAAGAGAGCCTGGAGAGGTGGAGGTATGCGCTGGAGAGAAGAGGAATGAAAATCAGTAGAAGCAAGACAAAATACATGTGTGTGAATGCGATGGAGACAGGCGTAACAGTGAAGGTACAACGAGCAGAAGCAGTGAAGCAGTGAAGGTGGATGAGTTCTAATACCTGGCGTCAACCATTCACAGCAATGGATGGTGAAGAAGGCAGGGTGAAGGTGAGTAACATGGGTGATTTGTGACAGCAAAATGTGAAAGAGAAGTGTGGAAGCATTGGGAGTGACCAGGATGGACAGGTCAGGCAGGAGGAAAAATGAAGAAGACCACAGAGAAGATTCATAGATGTAGTAAAGAAGGACATGAGAAGAGTTGGCGTGGCAGAAAAGAATGCTAGGGACAGGGTGATAATCCTGTGGTGGACTCTTGGTTGATTCTCGTGAAGGAGTCGCTCTCATGACTCATCCAGTGACATCACTACCTGCCTAATCAGTGGCATGCAGTCTGTTGACGTCAGATTTTCAGCTCAACTCAGCTCACTTGGGAACGTACTAAAAATACTGGTGGACACCCCTCAGCCAGTAGATCCAGATATGGTATAAACTGGAATATCTTAGGTGGGGTCTGTCTGGAGTTATCACATTCATAAGATTTTCAGAAAACTTAATCTCTAAACTTGACCTTGACATTGAGGTCATGACATTCCAACTCGTCTGAGATTTTTGCTAGGTGCACCTACGGTATGAATGTCAACATCGCCTCGTTTTGAGTGGTCGCATTCACAACTTTGGTGACCACACTGCTCGCCCGCCAGTGACATCAATACCATATCAGCCTTTTACGGTTGAAGGGTAAAAAGTACCTGATAACAGGAACCACTGAGTCGAGTCAAACTAACTAGGTACTAGTGGAACAGAGGCTAAAATGCTCCAGGCACCAGTGGCTGATTTCACATTGGGTAAGTCCATGTTTCATATACAATCTGGCGTGTAAAGCAGCACTTAATATATTTTTAAGATCACGAGGACCACTTCTGTTTTGCCTCTCTCACCATCTACAATCTGTATGAAGAGTGCAGCAATTCTTGTTAAGCGACTGGTCCTCACTATACTATGTAGCAGTGTAATCACACAGGCATACGGAGAATTGTGTCTGCCAATCCAGGGGATAACAGAACATATATTAAAACTGAATTCATGAACATAAATAATAAAGTACAAAGTCCTTATATTATAATGTTAGATTTACACAGTACTCATGAATATGCACAGTGAGGAGTGGCTCAGCTAACATGCAACTACTGTCGCTTTATGGGTTCACGTGTCTCCGTGTGTGATTTGTAAAAGTGTGTGAGCATATGTTACATGTAAGTCGACCTTCGCCACTCCAATTAACAAATCACTGCTTAGCTGTTGCCAACATTTGAGGGAAACAGCTATCACCATGGAAACTAAACGTATCTATGGTATCCTGAAAATTGTCTCCAGTACCTGGATGTATAGTTTGCCGGTGTGTGTGTGTGTGCACTCATGCATGAGTTTTATCAATTCTGGCATTTGCACCCGATTAATGGTAAGCGGGGTCGATTGCGGATGGTGCTGTTATATATATATAGATATTTTTATCATTTAAGAAACAAAATAGGGGTTGGATAACTCCCCTGCTTTTGCTGTTTTATACACATATCGTTCATGCATTTGTGAACAATTTGGCTGCTTTTATGTTGGTCAAACGAAGGCTGATGCATGCTGAACAACTGCTCTAAACATCATGTCAGTAGGCTAGGAGGATTTCCTTATATATGTTTTTTTAATTTATTTAGAGATGATGGACAAGCAAATCATCATGTTATTTTATGTTATGAGACTGGGTACACGCATGCTTTCATAATATGCATTTTATGCAGCAATCCGCATAATTCTTTCTTTTGTTAGCCCATGTCAAAAAGAAACCTCTTGATCCAAAAAAAAGATTCTGATGTGCTAGGAAATCTATCCGTCATTCGATCATTCACTCTCACCAAGACATGTTAACATGAGTTAGCAAAACACTGTTAACAGGAAAAGTGGTCATTATAATGCATGATGAGCTGGAGCAGCGTCTGTGCCAAAACACTGAACCTCATACGAGATAACTCTTCACATGTGATTATGACACAGCAGACCAGAAATGTACTTATTTCTAATAGGAACTTTCTCTTATCTATAGAAAAATAAATCAGGCTAGACAATCTCAAGAGTGTGTGTACATGAATTATCATTTGGCCATTCATTACTGTTCACTCTCTCTTGCTCTGTCTCTTATAGACACAGGCACACATATAAGCAGACATGCACACCCCTACAAATGTAAATGACTAAGGCCAGGTTTGGGAATGGAGGGCACAAGTAAGTAGCTTATAGGCTTCTAGGTCCTCTCCTGTATCTTCAAGACTACAAAATCAATCGGGACTTAGTTCTGGAAAGTGGCTGCGGGGATTTTTTAGAGATAACCCCCTGCGACTAAAACCATCATTTAGCTGGGTTTCGCACTTATAACTACAGCTTTATTTCTCTGATGACTCTACATCTCTGAACAGACCCATTGGCTACTTGGGATTGCTCTTTTGTTGTGTGTGTGGAATATCTCCTTATAGGAATGAGCTGAAGGAGGGGCAGTGACATTCTTCAATTAAGAAATGTTTTTCTCCCAGAGTATTCACTACACATGTTCACCCAAGGCTTATTGCCCAGTGGCATGCTCAGGTAATTTGTGAAATGTTTTAGCGAGACCGGTTGTCTCGCCTTCCTTTGTCTCTGGCTTGGAGTGTTTTAGCCTTTAAGGTGTCTCTACCAAAAACACTCTGTCCCAAACTTGCTGTTAGTTTTTGCTTCACTTGCACCTCAGAGGCCTTTATCCAAAGTATTTTGACGTCCCCTCTCAGCCTTTGGTCTACGTGTCATCTCTGGTCCTATGTGATTTTCATGAGCTAGCCCACGAATCCCTTCTAGTGGGAACAGACAATTCTGACCCAGCATTTTCTGGGCTGCTTCTAAATGGTTAGTGCCCCTCTGGTAATTTATATTAATGCTGCGTTTCGGGCTTGCATCAGCCAGGAGACGCTCAGAGGGACTGGTGTCAGACATGTCACGGAGGTGCTCATCATCGTCTGTATCGGCATCAATGTACTTGCTGATGGAGGAGTCATGGAAGGTGAAGACAGTTGGGGCCAGGGGAGTGCCTTCTGGAGACTTTGGTGGGGTCCTGCTGCTGGCAGTAGTGTACGCAGAGGTTTCGGGGCTTAACAGAGAGTGGTCTGACACAACTGAGCTGTCTGAAAGTGGGGAAAGTCCTGATTCTCCGTCGCTGCGGCAGCCTCCTTTGGGAATAAGGCTTTTTGAGGAGATTCCAGAAAAGAAAAATTTCCTTGTGCTGTCCGTCTTTGTGACAGACACAGGGGTCAGCATGGGCTCACGGTCCCCTGTTGTTTGCTGGCCAGTTTTTGTATTGGTGTGCTGGGACAATGCTGTCGCTGGACTGTATGAGAAGCGGTTGCTTTCCTGAAGACCAAGATCTATTGCAGGACTGTGGGAGAAGCGTGGATTCTCCTGGAAGTCTGTTGCACAACTAATGTAGCTGTCAATGCTGGATAAGCTTTTCATGTCTCCAACTCCATCCCTGGTTCCTAGGGCTTGTTGACCATGGTCATGTATAGCCCCCAGCTCTATCTCATCCCTCTGTTTACCAACTCTGGAGGCCCTTTCTTTAGCATTGAGGTTGGGTTGTGACTGTGTCTTTGCCATCTGGTTGTACATCTCTTCTAGTTTCTGAACATTTAACCTCTGGGGACTGGTGGCTCGGGCCTTGCTGGGAGAGCCTAACTCCTGGGCATTGAAAGAACGGTTTGAGCTTGTCTCTGATGCAGCCCTCTTGGGAGTCCATTTCCAGCGGCTGGGTGAGAGGTGGTTGTCATGAGGCCTCTCGCTCTTCTCCACCACCACATCCATCAGCTCTGCACTACGTGCAAATGCTTCTTTCAAGTTCATTGAGACAATGCTGCCATTTCTCTTTGCCCTTTCTAAGGCTTCTCTTCTTTTAAGGGCCTTTTCTTGCCTCTTCTGTTCCTTATAGAATTCAGAAAAGTTATTTACAATAATAGGAATAGGTAGAGCGATCACAAGTACTCCAGCTATGCAGCATAACCCCCCGACAATCTTTCCCAAGAGAGTTTTGGGGTAGATGTCACCATAGCCCACTGTGGTCATAGTAATTGTAGCCCACCAGAAAGAAGCTGGAATGCTTTTAAACTTTGTATCCTCTTCATCCTTCTCAGCAAAAAACACCAGACTGGAGAAAATCATGATACCCATGGCAAGGAAAAGAATAAGTAGGCCCAACTCATTGTAACTCCTCCTAAGGGTAAAACCCAGAGACTGAAGACCTGTAGAGTGACGAGCCAGTTTCAAGATACGTAGAATACGCATGATCCTAAAAATCTGAACCACACGCCGAACATTTTGAAACTGTAATACACTCTTGTTGGATTCTGTCAGGAAAATGGTGACGTAGTAGGGCAGGATGGCCAACAAGTCAATAACATTTAGAGGACCCTTAAAGAACTTCCATTTATTCGGGGAGGAGAGGAAACGGAGCAGGTATTCCATGGTAAACCAGGCAATGCAGACAGCCTCCACATGGGCAAGTTGAGGGTTGTCTGTGGATTGGCCAAACTCATCTGTATCCTGTAGCTCTGGTAGGGTGTTCAGAGACAGGGCAATGGTGGAAAGCACGATGAAGAGGATGGAGATGATGGCAAGTATCTGAAAGACAAAATTAGTCAATATGAGATTTTATGCATCAGAGAATGGCTTACAGTAAATAAAACTTTGGTCACTTGAGAGGTTTTGTTGCAGACATTGAAGACACTCAGCGAGCTCAAGGTGTTGGGAACAGCAAACCTGCTAAAAACCTTAAAAACTGCACTCAGGAGTATTTAGAAGAAATGGTACTATTTTAAAGACAAAACAAATTTGGTATAATTTACCTTTTTCTATTTACAGCTTTGTGTACGATATTGCATGAAAAACATTTTTTCGCCATAATGACTTAAACTTGAAGTTGAAAGCTGCATTAAGTGGAAACTATGAAATTGAAATCATCGTCAAGTGTGCACTTTAGCATACTTTTATTACCTGATCACACAATTAAGCTATATGCAAGTAATTAAACTATAACAGTTTAAATAAACCTTCTATAAATGCTTGACTGACAGTGTGACTGCCTGAGAGCTAATGGATTAGACAAACTTGGACCACTTACTTATTCATAACTCACTTATCAGGCTGATCCACATGAGTGAGTGTGCTTGAGTGGACAATTATGTTTAGCACCAATCAACAAAAACAAAAGTATCACAGCAACACATATCAGACTCACTGAATAATTTTCTAAAACATAAAACTGGGAACTGGGTAAAACAGTAAATGCTTATTTTTGGTGTAGAAAGTTTTTTTTTTTTATGATATTTTATGACATTTTCCAAACTGGAGGTTGGACAGAGCCCTCGAGAGCTCAAATGGGCTCTTGAGCACTTACCCCTGCGCTGAAATTGTCATGTTAAGATAATTAAGATGAGCCTACCATTATCACAGAGTGCTGAACCTACTTGCTAGCCACGAAATCAGTGACTAATTGAAAGGCTTCGGTGCTCTCTATTTAAAAGTAGGATAAGGGTAAAACATAATCCACATGTAGTTTTACACTGTTTTCTCCCATTATGGTCTCTCTAGAATTACTGAGGAGAGACCTCTCACTCGCCGTCACTTGACACCATCATGTAATGAAAATGAACCTGCAATAACCACATAGGAGCAGAATGTCCCCAGAATCTACTGCACTTGATGATGCTGATGATTCACTTTACGCAGTACACAGAACTGGGAAGTCTGTCAAAAAACAGCACCCTGACACACACACACACACACACGCTACCCCACCCACTCTCCACCAATCATGCTAACAAGCACGTACGTGGTGGCAGACTACACCTCTCTGAGCACTGACAGCACCCCCATCAACCAGGATTCATTGTGTAAACAAAAAAATGGTTGCGTTTGCTTTGAAGTATGTTATTCTTGAGTTTGTTTGATCTGAGTAAATGACTGCGTAATGTTGTATGAAAAATACTTGAGAAAATGTTGCAGTGCCATCCAGCTTGCGATATACCATCAAGTCCAGAAAAGTTAAAAGCGAGTGAAACACTGATTTGAAACGCAAAGATAGATGTAGGCAGCAAAAGACCCACACATAACTCCCTTACAGAAATGCACCCAACAACACACACACACACACACACACACGCACACACACACACACAAAAAAAAAATAGCTAGAATGATTTTACATCTAACTTTGTAGAAGACAAAAAACTTAGTTATGCCTCATATTAAAGGTTAGCTTACAAAAATCACTTGAATGAAATCTTGAGGTTTGATTTGATTTAGTATGACACTTTAAAATTTTAGTCCTCGAGCTGTCATGTGGAACAGTAGCTCCCGAAATGGTCTAATAAGGAACACTGTGCCGAAAAACTAATATCGGGGTTAGATAAACAAAGACAGATGGACTATGATGTAAATAAAGCAAAGAGTTTTTCTCCTTTTTACCTCATTTCCTACTAAGTTAGACAGATGTCTAAATTTATCTGTTGCACAAAGAACTTTAGTTGCTAACTAGTCTAAAAAGAAAAACTTTTAATAATAATAGTAATACAATTTATTTAAAAGCGCCTTTCAAAACACCCAAGGACACTGTACAGAGCAAAAAAGACAAGCATAAAAACAGGAAATAAACACATTAATAAAAGAAGGTTTAAGAGCATATGAGTTCAATGAGTTCTGGGCAAATTATACCTTTTGAAGAAGAAAAACAGCTGAGTTCACTATTTGTCGTTCTTTTCTCTGGCTGAAAGATACTTGTCCTCAACACCTGACCATTACAAGGATGTTTTAACTGGAAAATTTAGCAGCACAGAATTTCAATAATTTTTTTAAATGTTAGGGAAAAAAATGATAGTAACAGTAGATAGTGTAAATAGCATTGGAAACTTCCTGTTGCCTTAAATCGCCTTTAACGCAGTCAAACAAAAATGACAGATCACATATTGACCATTGATTCAACAGTGTTTAGTCTGATTAGGGTTGTCACCAGAACTGATACTTATAGTACCATTTGACACACACAGTGGCCGTTGTTTTTGGGTTTTCAATAATGTATCAGCATAAAAAACCTAAAAGATTTGTCACAAATTATAATCTACTACCAATGGATTCTAAAAATTACTGTCAGATTAGAAACTCTTTTGCAACAGTGTCATCTTCACTTCCTTCAGCGCACACACATTTACACACAGACAGACAGACACATTCACTAGCAGCTGAACACGTGAAGAGCAGCAGAACAAACTTGATGAACACGGACACCTTAGCCTTTATGGAACATTTTGTGAGGTCAGTAAAACTCCTGTTTCAACAAAATTTAAGTATTAATTACCATAAGCATTAACCTGGCCAGTGCACACATTGACATAACCATTTAGCTATAATCAGTTATCTACATTAGCTGTTTGTTTAGTTATTGTCACAAGATAGTGGCTAACAGCTATGGCTAATTATAAAGTGATAACATTAATATGCCCATTTGTATGATGATAACACGATTATTTGTGTCTGACATTTTTCTCTTAAGGGCAAACAGTGAAGCTGAGGAAACTATACCAAAACGGCAGCTGCATAGCTTACCAGCTGATCTGTAACAAAGCTATGGTGTCAAGTGAGAGGCACAGGAAATAAAACAGGACTGTAGATGAATATTTTTGCATATATTCCTTTTATTTTTGTCCTTCTCCCCCCTAGTGGTCTTGAAAATGTTATTGAACATTGCATATTTTCCTGATATTGAGTTTGTGGCTTTCTGTTCTGACTGGTCTAGGCTCTTCTCTACTTTTTTCATTCTTTGAAAAACTTTTGTTAAAGGGAACTCTAGTCAGTTGGATGGCTATAATTACAAGACTAGGAAACGTTTACAGCCAGAAGATTAATACTCGCTTAATCACTTTCTTTTGTGAACCAGACCTCAACTAACTACAGTGCAGACAAACAAACACCTAAAGAAAAACCGTGTAAAAAGCAACTAGTATGGACCGGGGATGTCAACAGCCTTCAGCCTGAGTTAGTAAGGTTTAGAAGAAGGTGGCTAATGCTTTAGTTTTTGATGCAACAAGCTAAATGGGTGCATGTAAACGTTTGTAAAAGAAACTTGGCCTTCCGAAGAAGATAACCTATTCTGAACCAGAAGCAGAAAGACCTGGATTATGTGAAAGTGTCTAACAAGGTCTTTGCAACTCAGTACATGTATAATTGCTGGTGGTAAGCTAGTTTTAGAAGCTGCAAATAGACTGTCCAAAATAAAATTCAAACGAAGATCTAATTACAGAGGCTATCTTTTACAGATATAAATAAATATGCTTTGAAATTTTGGCTCACACTTTGGTTGCCTAAGGCAAAACACTTTGAAAACCACTGACTTAGAATATGTGTAAAATATACTCATTCTTTTTTATGGTTCTACTTCATACCTGTTATAAAAAAATATCCAAGTCAGACACTGACTATCCCTGTGTGCATTTCAGTGATAACAGCTTAAAAAACTCTCCTTTCCTTTATAACTGGGAATAAAGGGAACACATCCAGCAGGTCTCTCGTGATCTTAATGCTGAGGTAAAAGAGAGGGGCTCCTGTCCCTGTCTGACTTGAGTGAGGATGAATCACAGAGTCAACATAATCCAGTGGTGTATATTTTGTGTATTTATCAAAAACTAATATACTGTATGCTGCTTTTTATTTTATTTTACAGTGACTGATACAAAATGTCACATACTATATACAGAACTGTGCAGAGGTCTTCAGCCAACCCTCATTTCTTTATATTTTGCTTCCAAGGAGCCAGACCATCCATCCACGGTGTGGAGCCTATCCCAGCTGCCACAGGGCAAGAGGTGGGGTAACTCAGACAGACATCCTTTTGCACCTATGGACAGTTTAGTATCACCAAGTAACCCGACCCCACTAACTGGGTGTTTTTGGAATGTGGGTGGAAGCTGGAGTGCCCTGTGAGAACACAAACAATGACCCACACAAACATGGGGAGACCATGAAATCACCAGCTCCTTTACCCTGGTAACCTGCAAGCTAGTTTGCAGCTGACATGCTTCCTCCAAAATATTCCCAGGCCCGATAACTTAAACCAAGCAGTTGGTAATAAATAATCTGCTGGCTATAATCATAAATCAAAGACTCGGCAAACAGAAAATATGCAAAAAAAAAAAATGGTTCCAAAGCACACTGCCATTGCAATAAAACATAAACATTTCAATAAATTGCTAAACCAATTTCCTACTTTCCTGGCAAAATATGAAAAATTAAGGTGTGGCTCAGGACTTTTGCACAGGACTGTATCACATACTGTTTACTGATGACTTACATCTTTGTCTATTACTATATTAAATGATTTGAGCCTTCAAGATGAATGTAATGTTACATCTGATTCCTTTAGTTCCTTACTTCATGAACTTCAGTCCGCGTTTGTTATATTAACCCTAAATGACTCCAGCTCCAAACAGCACAACTTGGAGGATGAGTAGGAGGCTGCAGCTAGAACACTGAGCCTGTTTTGGCAATAGCCCACACAAAAGAGGTTAGGATGTTATATGATGAAATCAATCATAGGATAGTTAAAATACTCCAAAAATGAGTGCAGTGTT